TACATGTCAAATTTAAGTTTGGTAACATGACTTAATCTATAGCCAAAAGGCCCACGGCAATGTGATATAATAAATCTAAGAAATCATCAATAACGTAAATTTTAGTCGTCAAATAGCCGTCAGTTAACGATTAACCTAGCGATAGCTAATATTAACGACTTTATATAAAATTTATATTGTATTGCATTGCATTGAACTGTATTGTATTGTGTTGTATAGTATTGTAATGTTTCACATCTAAATGCAATGAATGATGAAAATTGTACATAGTTGTGAGGTATTAAAAAGTCTATAGGTATTTACAGGTCGCTTGACCAATCTAATGTATTGGATTCCATGAGGGCGCTACCAGTAGCCCTTCTCACCGTCACACGCCTATCGTACGCAGGCCTCCACCGCCGGCAGCGAGATCAAGTCCACGCCCTCCCCACCACGCTCGCGCGCGCGCACACGCAGGCACGCACACGCACGCACGCACGCACGCACGCACACACACATATATATATATATGCTGTAGCGTGAGCGTGGTGGTGGGGAGGGAGGGCGCACTTGATCCCACTGCCAATGTCCTACACAGTTAGACCGTAAGCTTATCGTGAATGCACAAAGCATTAAATGAAATCCCTCAACGTTCTCAACTTCTGCCGGGAGAAATGTATAAGACGGACACGTCCGTACATTATGCTTATGTGAGTTCTACGAACATCTAAACGAATACCCACGAAATCTCTACTACACCTAGCCATCGGCCTGTCAGCACACTGTATATAGCCGCAGAGCGTTTATGAGGAGGATTGTTTGTCATGTGCAATGAAATAAAATAAAAAGTGAAACAATCTAGCACTGTACACATTTTTTATGCCACAAGAGTACATACCAAATACACATATACTCTGTACATATCTGTCATCATTATCCAGTGTCCGACGTTATAAATGAATAGCAAAACTGAGTATATATATATATATATATATATATATATATGTAGTCCAAACTTACGGAATTTCCTTTTCCGATCGAATTTAATTTGATAAAAAGCGTTTAGACGGCGCATCTGTTGTTTATAACAGTAGGCATGGGAATATTACAAAAATCAATTCTACTAAAGTAAACACAGTGGTAACTGCACAATTACACAACAATATAGAAGTGAAGTAGTGAACACAGATGTTGTGTACATTTTATGTACATGATTGTGAGGATCATGAGACGCTACCCTCATATCTCACATCTACATGGGCGAACCTAGCTAGCTACTTGCTTCACCTGCAGCATACACTATTACGAACACCCGCTCTGCTGTCTAGTCAGAGAAAGATCATTTTATAAGACATTTCTATATCACGTGACCTACATATATATAAACTTTGTGATTTACGAATATTATAGCTCCTGATATTAACGAGAGAGGCTCTTGCTAACAAATCTAAGCCGATGCTATCATCTTGCAGACGAGAATTTCACCTGTATTGACTGACCATGAATCCATACAATACCTGATTATTCAGTCTATTTTAGGAGTAGCAGTAGCTACTGCACAGTCAATACTAATTAAGCACCCATTCAGCAGTGATTACACCATACAACAGTGCCTACTGCACACAGGAGTGGAGAGGCCAAAGAGAAACAACTACTACTGATATAACACTAGCAAGGCACCATGTAGCAGTATAGCTCATCCACACAGCAGCAGCAGCTACTCCATATAGTTGTTAGTAACTAGCTTACACAGCAGTAGATACCACATGTAGCAGTAGCTAGCCTACACAGCAGTAGATACCACATGTAGCAGTAGCTAGCCTACGCAGCAGTAGATACCACATGTAGCAGTAGCTAGCCTACACAGTGGTAGATACCACATGTAGCAGTAGCTAGCCTACACAGCGGTATATACCACATGTAGCAGTAGCTAGCCTACACAGCGGTAGATACCACATGTAGCAGTAGCTAGCCTACATAGCAGTAGATACCACATGTAGCAGTAGCTAGCCTACACAGCAGTAGATACCACATGTAGCAGTAGCTCATGTACACAGCATGTAGCAGTAGCTCAACACAGCATGTAGCAGTAGCTCATGTACACAGCATGTAACACTGTAACAGTAGCTCATGTACACAGCATGTAACACTGTAACAGTAGCTCATGTACACACCATGTAGCAGTAGCTCATGCACACAGCATGTAGCAGTAGCTCATGCACACAGCATTATCTAACCTCGATAGCTCTAGCTACACACCATGTAGCAGTAGTTCATGTAGACAGCATGTAACAGTAGCTCATGTACACACCATGTAACAGTAGCTCATGTACACACCATGTAGCAGTAGCTCATGCACACAGCATTATCTAACCTCCACAGCTCTAGCTACACACCATGTAGCAGTAGTTCATGTACACAGCATGTAACAGTAGCTCATGTACACACCATGTAGCAGTAGCTCATGTACACATCATGTAACAGTAGCTCATGTACACACCATGTAACAGTAGCTCATGTACACACCCTGTAGCAGTAGCTCATGCACACAGCATTATCTAACCTCCACAGCTCTACCTACACACCATGTAGCAGTAGCTCATCCACACAGCAATAGTTAACCTTCACATAACAGGAGATAGCCTACACAAGTCGTTAAACCCCCTACAGCATTAGATGCCTCGCGTAGCAGTCAGTAATCCACAGAGCCTTAACTACCAGAAGTAGAAGCAGTAGCTAGCCAGTGCAGCACTAACTATCCAAAACAGCAATAGCTCATCCACACAGCAGTAGCTAACCCTCACAGGAGTAGTTAGCCCCCATATAACAGTAGCTAAACCACATAACAGTAGCTACTCCTCACAACACTGGCTAGCCCCCCCCCCCATATGACAGTAGCTACTCCACCCCATATGTAACAGTAGCTACACCAACCCATATGTAAGAGTAGCTACACCAACCCATATGTAACCTAGCTACACCGCCCCCACATAACAGTAGCTACTCCTCACAACACTGGCTAGCCCCTCCCCCCATATGACAGTAGCTATTCCACCCCATATGTAACAGTAGCTACACCA